GAAGGCCACTGCACTCCAGTCTGAGGGACAGAGTGAGACTTCAACTCAAAAAAAAAAAAAAAAAAAAGAACACAGTTCTGCCCACCTGTTAATGTGTCTGTGGCTGCTTTCACGCTATAGCAGTAGAGTTGAGTAGTTGCAACAAGGATTCATGGGCCTGAAAAAACTAATTTTTTTTAAAATTCAGGGTCTCACCCTGTCACCCAGGCTGGAGTGCAATGACACCATCATGGCTTACTACAGCCTCGACCTCCTGAGCTCAGATGATCCTCCTACCTCAGCCTCCTGAGTAACTGGGATTACAGGCTTGCGCCATCATGCCCAGCCAAGTTTTGTAATTTTTTGTAGAGACGGTGTTTTGCTATGTTGCCTAGGCTGGCCTCAAACTCTTGGGCTCAAGCAATCCTCCTGCCTTGGCCTCCCAGAGTGTTGGCATTAGAGCAAAGCCTAAATTTACTCTGGCCCTTTGCTGAGGTTTGCCGACCTCAGTGATGGAAGAGATGCTAGCACATTGACCTCACCTGTTGTGATGCAACTTCTTTATGTTGGAGAAAGACTTTCATTCCACCTTGAACGGTGCCTGGAATATAGTAATCATTCAGTAGATATTTGTTGAATGCTTGAATGAGCAATGTGTCTCCAGACATTGGAAAGAGGCAAAACCCTCAGGCACTAGTTCCTAGATTTGTTCTTTCAGTAATTCATTTGTCATATGGTCAACTGTGCCAGATGTTTCTTCAATGTAGGTGGTTTATGCACATACAAAACTTGAAACCTGTTTGAATACTGATTCAGACAAACTGACCAAACATATGGAATCATTGAGGAAATGAGATCACTGCTTAAATATTTGACGTAATTATTGGGTTTTTTTGTTGTTGTTGTTGTTTTGAGTAGGAGTCTCACTATGTTGCCCAGGCTGGAGTGCAGTGGCACGCTCATGGCCACCACAGCCTCAACCTGCCTGGCTCAGGTGATCCTTCTTCCTCAGTCTTCCAAGTAGCTAGAACTGCAGGCATGTGCCACCATGTCTGGCTAATATTTTTTA